TGTAAGTCTTCATAGAATTGGTCAATTTCAGCCTCTTCAGCATCAGTGGTTGGTGCATAAACTTGGATTACTGTGATGTTCAAAGGTCTGCCTTGGATTCGCATTGAAATCATTGTATCATTTTTTAGATTGTATCCCACTACAGCTTTTACCATGATAATCATCTGAATTGAATTTGCCCATTCCCGTCCATTTTAGTTCACTGATGCCCAGGATGTCAATGTTTATTCTTGCCATCTCCTGTTTGACCACATCCAGCTTACCAAGGTTCATAGATCTTACATTCCAGGTTCCTATGCAGTATTTTTCTTTGCAGCATCTGACTTTCCTTTCATTTCCAGGCACGTCCACAGCTGAGCGTCCTTTCAGCTTTTGCCCAACCACTTCATTAGCTCTGGAGCTACTTGTCCTTGTCCTCTGCTTTTCCTCAGTAGCATGTTGGACGCCTTCCGACCTGAGGGGCTCATCTTTCAGTGTCATATCTTTTAGCCTTTTGTTTCTGGGTTATTCTTGGCAAAGATACTGGAGTGGTTGTTGTGGGTTTTTCGGACTCTTTGGCTGTGTTCTGAAGTTTGTTCTTCCTAACATTTTGCCAATCTCTGTGGCCGGCATCTTCAGAGTGGCTTGCCAATTCCTGCTCCAGGGGGATCGTGTTTAGTCGGAACTCTCCACTATGACCGTCTTGGGTGTCCCTGCACAGCATAGCCCATAGCTTCTCTGAATTACTCAAGCCCCCTTGCCACGACAAGGCAGCAATCCATGAATGTATCTTGCCTCAGGCTAAATGCTTTAAAAATGAAGTTGTACAATTGTTCTGAGAGAGCAAGGTGAACTCCAAGCATTTGTTTGCCTTCTGTTATCACTTCTGTGTCCTGCAGAATTCAGCAGAGTTGTTCTAACAAAAGGACAAGAGGACAGAGTCAGAACTTTTATTCTGTAGAGAATACTGTTAACAGAAAATATATTTATGGTTGTGTCTGAAATTTAAACTCTATCAGAATGACACTGATGAACTTCCTTTCAGCAGTAAAAAAAAGGCACAGAAGCAGAGCAGCCAACTTAAAGCTTTCCTCAAGTTCATAAATAAGATAGTATTCTTCCTTCGAAGAATGCTGTCATACTGCAGTGGTTCTTGGGCTCTAAATACGTGGCATGGTTCTCTTTGCATAGCTCAGTGTTTTAGGTATCTGGCTGCATAGCCAGAGATTTGACTCTCTACTATGCCTGTATGCCAAGCCAGAGATTTGACTCTCTACTATGCCTATCTGACAGGGGCTGGGCTCGATGATCCATAGTGTCCCTTCCAGCTCTGCAGTTCTAAGATGATGAAAATTATGATGATTGGTAACATACATCGTTTCATAATGCAGTTTCTCTATTTCTCTAGTTCTGTCAAAATATATTCTTGAGTCTTGCAGTAAATTTGCTAAAGTGAGCCAGAGATTTGACTCTCTACTATGCCTATCTGACAGGGGCTGGGCTCGATGATCCATAGTGTCCCTTCCAGCTCTGCAGTTCTAAGATGATGAAAATTATGATGATTGGTAACATACATCGTTTCATAATGCAGTTTCTCTATTTCTCTAGTTCTGTCAAAATATATTCTTGAGTCTTGCAGTAAATTTGCTAAAGTGAGGTCATAGTAATCTGTAATTTCAATATACTTCCTTCACATTTGTAGTACATATTTTGGTTTCTATACATTGTTTTCAAAAGCCTTATGTGTTGAAGACTCACTTGCTGGTAATTCTGTTACCATAGTACAGTGGCAGCGAACCTTTTTGAGCTTGCGTGCCCAAACTAGGGGAAAAAGCAAAAACCCAGTGTGTGGTATGCTGCCATGGCGGAGCTGGAAGTGGTGCCGGAAGGGGGAATCCCAGCATGGAGGGGCCTTGAGACCCCACTCCAGATCCACTGCCAGCATCGGCTGCTCCAGATCCACCTAACGAAGCGCCAGCACCGCAGCTGCAGCCACCTTCTCAGGTTTGGCTGCACAGGGGAGGGGTAGTGATCCGGCAACTTCTGGCTCGCATGCCCGCAGAAAGGTCTCTGCATGCCAGCTGTGGCACACATGCCATCGGTTCGCCATCGCTGCCATAGTACCTGTGCAGTTCTGTTGGTGAAGCTGTCTGAAGGTCAATATTCCCCATTCTTTTTCTTCCTTTCTCCTAGCTGTTGGCAAAGGACATACGACATGAAAGGAATGTGATTCTGCAGTGCATTCGCTATATACTCCGGACTGGTATCTTTGGACTCCATTCACAGACTGATAGAACAACTCACTTGGAGCCCAGACAGTCTTCTCACAATGTGGAAGAACTACTGGCAGACAGGCCTAATGAAATGAACAGTTCTCATAGTTCTTCCACTGACCTAGCAAAACCGAATGAATTATTTGGAGGTCAGAACAAGGAGTCATCTTTTGAAACTCAGATATCACAGAGTTTGCATGCTGATGATGAGGAGATCTGGGAAACTACAGAAATGTGTATCAAAGAGAACTGACTTTTTTATTATTTTTATTATCATGGGTAATGGAAAGGATGCATTGTCCACTTTAGGATATTTGCCTAAAGAACCCAACCTGAATTTTCTGTCAGAATTTATCTAAAAATAAACCTGCCCTTTTGCTAGAAACTTGCATCTGCATTTGCCTTGTTGCTATTTTGATTTTGTGGTATTTTTCTGGATGGTTTATTTTTGCATCTTGTAAATTTAATTAGAAATCACATTGATATGTTTTATTAGATAATTGCATTGCACAAGATTTACATGAAAAACAAAAAAGCTTTGAATTCAGAATTCACATCTCAGAAGGGACACAGAGATAAAGGGAAAGGAGACGCTTTTCTTCCTTGCTTTCCTTGGGTCCATTGCTTCCATAATATCTTGCCCAATTCAGCCCAATTCCTGTTGTCACAGCCAAGTTGTCTGGTAAGGAAGAAGAGAGGAATTCCTAGTTTGGTGAGGCAGGGAAAGATTTAGCTCCCCTCACAAATGTAGCCCTTGTGGCTTTAAAATTAGCATCCATCCTATCTACTCATTTTGTAGGTAAATGTGACTCATGAACAAGCAATGTGGCCACCACCAATATGTCTACTAGTTTAACCACTGGAAGTAGTACTTTTTGAGTTATCAGCAAGGAATTATGTATAAAACTAAACATTAGTCTTGAGTATCACCCACTCAGAAAACCTCCTTACTGAGAAGAACACGAAAAGAGAGAGTGGAATACTGTATAAGAAGATAGATCACAGATACGAGCACACAGGAGGGAAAGAGCAGAATGGAAACCCCTCACCCTAGTTTCACAGCTCATCCACGAGAAGGTGGGAAATCGCACCCCAGGAACGATCAACCCAGGAGAGTGGTGGAGTGATGACACATTACTCTTATTGCATGTACTGTTATCAGAAGGAGAGTTGAGTCTAGAGTGGAATAGCACCCAGGACCTGGAAAGAATGGAGAAGTTAAAATTTTCAGAAACTAAAGTCCCTAAACCCCTTCCTCTCCATTGGAAAGGAAAGAGAAAGCAGAGTTGTTGAAGATATCAATACTGAGTTGAATGGTTCTTTAGCAAATGTTGGTGCTTTAAAGCAAGAAACTGACTTTACTGTATTTGTTAGGTCAAAAACGGGGGCGGGGGGACGGCAGCAAAGTTGAGCCCTCACAGTGCCCGACATGACATGACACAGTTCATCCCCTGCTTCAAGGCCAAAACTGACTTTTTAAAAATTAATCTGATTCACAGTTAAGTGATGGCATTTGAGACAGGAAATTTCATCAGAGAGAAGTTGTATGTATGAAGTAGTTTAACGGTCTGGATTATATGTCCTTCAATTGTAATAAATCAACACCTCCTAAATTACGTTCTACATAAATTGTGCCTTCAGTTTTTAAAAGACAGAAACTTTAAATTGGATTTTAAATAATGCATTGAAGCTGCCTGTGATTGCAGTGACTCATTGTTTGCCCTGGTTTGACTTTGACATCTGATTTTCATGCCAATTAAGGCAGTCCTCATGACATGGCCAGCCACTTGAAGATGCAGCCCCAGGAAGGCTTCTCCCTCCAACAGGCCCCCTGCCATTCTGCCAACTTTCAAAATACAGTAGCAAACAACAGAGCACAAGCAGGGGGGTTGGGAAGGCATAGATAGTGAAACTGACTGGAATGGACAGCTGTTCGTATGAATAGCAGGTTTGCCTCATTGAATGCTTTTTTAAAAATGGCTCTAGTACTGCTGGTCATGAAATCAAGTGAATGCTTCTGACTTGAATTAGGATGGACAAGAAAACATGTACAAGCAAATCTCAAACACTGCAGAACCTTACCCAAAAGCAGCAGGAGTAAAATTTCCATGTATTCAGTCAGGTCTCATTTTAATTTCAAATTGTGCTGCAGAGACTCAAGCATGATACACAGAATAAAAGTTGGTGGCAAAACAAAAGGGAGGTCAAAAGAGGTATACATTTTCTAAAAAGGGAGAGGAATGACTCGATCTGCAGCCCAGCAGGCTACAATGTTGGCTTGAAATACAAACAACTTGCTTGAAGCAGGAATCCAGGCATGAAATGGCTGTGTGGCCTTTACCATGTGAGACATTCTAAGTCTATGCGCAAGACACAGAGAAGGCCTTTTCCTTCATGGAGAGCCAACCTAGGGTATCTTGCTGTGGTGTTCACACCTCATGGCCCCTGCCTGGCTCCCCAAACACAGAGCACATGAAGGCAAACCAATACTCCTTTTCACCTGCTGCCACCAGTTGATCACTAAATCAACATTAATTATGGAAGGATGAAGATGATGGTCCAAACTTCACTGTCTTTTAAATAAAACAAGTTTATTGATTACAGATGTTTGATAATTAATCATAAGTAGCTTCTACCAGTTTATTTATCATCAATCTCAACCTTCTGTTTGTTATAACAGTTTTTTATTCACTCTTCTCACTAATCACACCTCAGATCTCCCAAATACCACACTCTCTCTCCCTATCCACTCTCATCTCCCTCTTGACTCTGACTGACTCACTCTCTAACTCCGCCTATTTATTACATATCTCTCAGCTCCGCCTCTCAACAATATTAGCCTGCAACACGAATATTCATGACTACTTAATAAGGGTGAACGCTACACTTGCAGACTGCGGTAGGAGAATAAATAAATGGAGGTACCCAAGGACAGCCAGGTTGATTACTGTACTGCCACATCCCAGACTCACTTCATTGTTTCCAATAATTTTGCATAAACTGACTCCAGGTTTTTAGAAGGACGTCCATAAAGCTGGATGCTTGCAACCTGTTTTCAGTACATGCCATCAGTTCATAAATGTTGTGATAAACACAATATTTTATAGTTCAGTGTAACCAGACAATGAATTTGTAGAAATGCAAGTGATGCAAGATATCTTTACAGGAAATTGCACAAACTTTACTCCTTATTTGCTTGTCCAGCTCTTTTAATCAACAATCTGTGTGTTGGCTGTACAAGCAAGCAAGCATGGAAGCAAGTTGTAGACCCTGATGCATTTGGTAGCTGCAGAAGTGATGTAAAAATATTATAGGTTAATGCAAAATTCTGATAAATTTTGTTTAACAGAATTTAAGAATATCCGTTAATACAGGCGTCTCAAACATGTGGCCCGGGGGCCATTTGCGGCACACTGGATGATAGCTTGCGGCCCCCACCTTGCCTGTCCCCCTCCAAAGCGCCCACGTGTCCTCTGCTGTCAAGAGTAAAAAAAAAAAGCCTCACCTCGCTCGCTATCTCTCCCCCGAGACAGCGCCTCTTGCACCCTCCATCTGGAACTTCAGCCTGCCAGCCAGCCAGCCCACTCGTCTGCCAGCTGGCAGGCTGCAGTTCTGGATGGAGGGTGCAAGAGGCGCTGTCTTGGGGGAGAGCCGGTGAGTGAGGCGTGCTCCTGGCCCTTTTCTCCAAGCGCCCGAGCCACCGCCGAGCAATGCCTGACAATGGAGCTCGCTCCCAGCCTATCCTTGAAGAGCACCTCAAAGCCGCCAACAGCAGCTGCCGCCGCTGCCTCTTCCAGGGAAGCGGCTCTCTGACTCTCTCCTCTCTCTGCACCCCCAGCACCAGCCCGGCCAGCGGCCACCTCAGCACCTGGCAGTGCTTCCTCCTCCTCCTCCTCCCAAGTCCTTGCACGCCCCTGTCTACTGGCTAGGAAAATACGTATGCTAATTGGCTTCTACTTCCCAGTCTTTTTTTCCCTCTTCCCCTCTAGGTATAGTAGGCTCAGGAAGATATTAGACCTCTGCTGGCTTCTGTCAACTTATGGTTACAGTTTGCTAATAACTACCTCTGCAGTTTTTACAGAATTTCTGTCACTGGAAACATGGATTTTTAAGCAACTGTACACTCAACAACATTCATGCGTACTCCCTTTTATGTGGTCTGCAGTGTGAACTGAGGCACTGCATGCAGCGTCAAAACATCCATAGTAATTATCTCGTAGCAAAGTTTGATTTCCAGTGGAGTACAACTCCCTAAGAAAGTTAGGGAGATGAATAAATATTTATCAAGACAAAATTTAACGTTACTACATTACTATATATATGCCTGCTATTAAAGACATCAGAAAATACCACTTTCTCCACCCTGTTTTTCAGCAAACACCGCAGGCAAGATGCCCATTTCACCTCTTTTAAATAGTTCTTCTGCACTACCTACCAGAGGGCTTCCAATATACAGTGGTGCTTTGCATTACGACGTTAATTCGTTCCAGCGAAATCGCTGTAGAACGAAAATGTCATAATGCGAAAATAAAAAGCCTATTGAAATGCATTGAAACCCCTTCAATGCGTTCCAATGGGGTCAAAACTCACTGTCCAGCGAAGATCCTCCATAGGGCAGCCATTTTTGGTGCCTGTGTAGCGAGGAATCCATCCCAGAAAACAGCGGGGAGCCATTTTATTTACCCGGCGGCCATTTTGAAACTGCCGATCAGCTGGAGGAAAATCATCATTTTGTGAAGAATCGGTTCCCGAAGCAGGGAACCGATCATTTCAAAGCGAAAAAAACCCATTCAGACCATTGTTTTACGATCACAATTGCAATTGCAAAAAGATTGTTGTAATGCAGGGCAATCATAAAGCGAGGCACCACTGTATATTCAAACTGCTAATTATTACCTAGAAAAACTGTAGATGGCCAGGCAGCCTCTCTGCCCAAATATATCTCCTTGGATTGCCAGAGAAAACTTTCCCAGGTTCTGTCCTTTTCAGAAGAGAGATAATTAGGGAGTGGGGGGAGGGCCAGCTTTCAAGAAACCCTTTCTTACATTCCTTTCACAACTGTGAGAGAGGTTTCCTAGGAGTCACAAAGCCATGAGTCAAGCTACTGCTACTGTACTCTGTTATGATGGCTCTAGTGAGATTTAGGTTGCTTTTATTGTTGCTTTTCACACTTAAAAAGACCTGAAAATTTTTGTGCATTTAATATGGGGGAAATCCAAAACATGCTTTCATGTTTTATAATCATTCTGCCAGCTCAGCCTTTGAAATTCTCTAATTTTTAAGAATCTTGTAAATCTGCTGGTTGTTTGTCATAGATCCTATACACTATTATTTATTTAAACTATATTTACTCTGCCTTTCTCCTTTAAAAGAAGCCAAGGTGACTTACAT